GCCCTAACACAAAACCAATAAACTAATAGGGGTGTCAACACAGTTCATAAATACACAATCCACCCTAAGTTGTTAGGAAGAATCTGAGGTCTATGTTTCTTGGAGGGGGGTGTCAATAGTCATTCTTAGTCTCTTAGATTACTGTATAAATTTAAATATATTACTAAAAATTTTAGAGACAGGGGTCTCTACCATTCTGTTAGTTTATTTATCATATCAAAATACATACAATAAATAGGCTATATCATCATAACCTAACACGTAAAGCTTTAGATCTGTTGAGTACATATGCTGTCATGACATGCGAGTTTACAGCATCACTGCTGTCAGTATGACGTCATCTCTTTCAAGAGGAGTGGATCAAAGTTAATGTACTCAATAAAATATCCACATAACATTTATAATATAGGCAAAATCATATGGTATACATTTTATGTTAAAATAGACTAATACTCGCACTACATCACCAACGAATAGTAAAACCGAAACCACACTTCTTATTTCCGAGATGTTATTTTTGAACTTAATATTGGTTTGACTTTTGACCCATCTCATTTAATCACAATGCAAAATTATCTTTTATTAGAATTCTTGAAAATGGTTGATTCACTTCCAGCACACTTACTTTCTTTAAACAGATCATCCAGTTTGTGAGAATCAGTCAATCACATTCTAATTTATTGTCTCTAATTTACCGACAATTTTTTTTTTTTTAAATTCTTTTAAACAAATTTAAAACAATAATCACAACCACAACCGATACTTTTTGTCCCTAAAATTTATCTTGTTTTACATATTACTTTTGGAAGAGTAATTGTTGTCTCTCAGTATTTTTTACTGGATTTGTTAGTGAGATTTTGGCATTTGTCCGTAAGATTTCACTTTCCATCGAGTTTACATATATTACTAGAGAACAACTACATTTCTGATTACCAAAACATTGTTTACTAACAAAGAAAAACATCATACCTTGCTTTCTTTCGAGGGGTTTCTATCATTTTTTATGACATGTTTTGGCAACCTGACATCACATTAGTGTTTGAAATCCTTCTCATTTTTAGTGATTAAAAAGCGTCAAACTGAGACAGATCATAACGAAAATTAACTGCTAAAATCCAAACGAACGAATTTCTGATTTCCGTATTTTCATTAATTAAAGCAAAACGTGAGACATATTTTGGACTTAAAATCTACAAAATATGGCGAAATCGTAAGAGTAAACAGGTCTGGAAAACTGTCATCCCAGATATCCAGACAATTGGGGTACCCTATATGCAATATTTTGCAATGACGAAGTTCAAAAGCTGGTATTTTTCTCCTAAATTATCAAAAATAAATATCCAAGTAATATGCACATCTCTGATTCATGTACAACTGATCTTCAAAACAAAAAGTTCCTAGCTTGAAAACTGAAGAAATACCCTTTTGGCAGTCACCCGCTCACCATTTTCACCAACTGGGTTCTTCCTTCAGAAAACAGCTGACAAAGTCCTAATAATCTCAAAGATTCCACCTGATGCACACATCAATCAAAATTGTAGCAATTTCATTGGATTTAACCTTAATTCTAGGATAAAATCACTTGTGTTCTTCTGTGTACAACCATACAGGTGGTTCTATGCAATAACAATATTTCATAAGTGGTTCTTAAGCCTAGCAAATTGTTTAGTCAAAGTTAGGCAATTCCAAATTTTATCTATATTTAGCGTCCGCATTGAAACCCCATAACGGAAAAAAAAAATAACAAAATCAGGAGTCCTGAGACTGATTATTCTGGTTGAAAGCCTTTGAATTCTATCAATTTTTTTCTAAATATTTGTCTACAATATGTCATGTTAAGTATTTTTTAAGGATTTAATATCTTGAAGGATAGAAAATAAATTAATAAATGAAATTCTTGAATGATGTCATTTTTATGACTATAAAGTCTTTGTTTTATTTTTCTGGCTAATGTGTTTTTTGCAAATAAGTACATACAGGTAGATTTTTTAAAAGATGGATGGATGCTTAACAGAGAGAAAACTTGGAATGGCCTAATAAGTAATCTTTAATTTTAAAAAGACATTATACATGAAATGATAATGAGTGTTCTTTCTAATATGCTTTTATTACATTATTAAAATGTGTTACGTACATGTATTCACAAAATGTTTTCACCACGGCAAATGAAATACCTGTTGATAGCAACCAGAAATTCTGCATGGCAACCAAAACTAGAAATATGTCCATAGGACATGAATGCCCCGCCGATGATATATTAGTAATGCAACATTTTAACACAAATTGAGAAAAGTGAGGTCAAGGTCAAAGGAAAGGTCAAGGTGAAAAAATATTGATGCAGTTGAATAGCTTACATCAGTATGTATCAGTATATGAAGTTTGACACTAATTTAAGAAAAGTGAGGTCAAGGTCAAAGGAAAGGTCAAGGTCAAAAATTGTTGATGCAGTTGAAAAGGATACATCAGTATGTATTATCATATGAAGTTTGATAAAAATATT